ATGTGCCAATATTGTATAATACTGTTTCACGCCATTTAATGATGTTTTGGACACCGATGAGCCAGCTGAAAAATAACAAAAATGTTAAAAGAATATTAATGGATTTAATCTGCAATTTTTGTTAATAGAATCATTATCCCACAGAGGGGGCCAATCATAATATTGAAAGAAAATTCAATTTATAAAATTCAGCTAAAGACACATATATAATTATATAATGCTATGTATTATAAATAATTATATATGTATTATAATAATTATATAAAATTTAATGCTGGATACATTTCATTGGAAAAATTGACAAGTATGAACGTTTTGGGAACAGAGATTCTATTAGAGGGTACAACAGTCTTCTATAGGGCTGCAAATCGATTAAACCCGGAAGATGAATCGAGTAGTGGATATAAATCGATTTCACACTCCTGCTGAGTATAAATTAATAGACACTTTTGGGGTTGGCTATATTTCGTGTAGGTACCAGGATGTTCCCGGGGTTGTACCGGTTACCAGGTGTTGGACATGGGTTCCTGGGTGCCATAGAAAATCGGTTAGACACGGAGAGTGAGTTTTTTTTTTTTTGAGAAATGATGCGCTTTTATGAACTCCAATCTCTTTGTTTTCTGCAGAAAAATTCTTTTTTGGTTATTAAAACCTTTCCAGATTACAGATTATGGGTAATATGTTAAAAATTGAAACGAAGCAAATGATAGATTTAAATTTATTATTTCAATTTCCATTGAATTTGTTTTAGAAACAATCTAATGATAGTTATAACGTTGATTTGATTTATTTTAATTTTCAACTTGTTATCGTTAGAATCTAGAAAGCTTCTAATGACTTGTTATACAAATTTTTCTACTTATTACTTGTTACATTATATACTTTTGGTCTGAAGTACTTTTTCTAATAATTGTAAAAAGTAACGATTATCTGCTTTAGCAATAAAATCCGTTCCTTTCAGTATTTAAATTCGAATCAGGAGCACACGTGCCCAGGGGATTTGCCATTTAAATCTGATCCTCTTTGTTATCTCTCGATCTCGAGGATCAAAAATCCCGCCGCACAATAGACCTGTTCCAATCCAGTGTTTTTCTTTCGGATTAGACTCGGACAGGCTGCGGCTTGCGATCTCCAGATTCGATTTTTGCACGATTCAATCTTTGCACCTGCATTTTGCATCATTAAAAACCATCTTATCCATTTGTTTAGTCGATTATTGAAAATTGTACTCGTGGGAAAGAAAGAAATCGTTCCCTAGATTTTCCGTGGAACAACAGATGGTGCAAATAATTCATCCTGATGCAACGTACCCTCTTAATTTGTAGCGTGTTAATTGTCCAGCCTCGACGGATGTATTTAAGAGAAAATTTTGTGGGAAATCGATAATGGCCTTTACTTTATATCCTGTCGGTGCTTCAAAGAAACGTACATTAGTACATTACTTAGATAGCTGACCCTGCGTTGGGTAAAGTAAATTTAATTGTGTCTTGCATGTAAGTAATGTTACATTTTCTTCTTCTGAGATGAATAGTCATGCAATTTCTGATAATATTCTAATGTAATATTTTATTTCTCCAGTACATGTAATTTTGGTAGAAAAGTTTGTAATTTCGGCTGTTTATTGATTTGCCTGTACAAATTTTAAATTTTTCTTATCTATTTTGTTCTGTTTCTTTTTTATTTCTTTCAGATTCACAAATTCTTCCAGAAATCCTTTCTCCTGGTTTCAAAATCATTTAACTTTCTTTTTCAAAAATCTTTTCTTTTCCATTTTTCCTGTTGTTCTTATAATAATTATTGTTATTATATCTTCTTATCTCTATAATTCCTCTTCTTTGCAAAAAAAAAAGACTGTGAAATGAGTTCACCATAATTTTCTATTGTATAGAAACGTAGAGTACTAATTATTTTTTATTCTTCCACGACGATGACCACAGAAATTAAAGGGATGTTCCAAGACCGGCAAGTTTTACAGTTGTTCATAAAAAGAGCATCCAAGGGAATCGGAGGTGTAACGGAGAAAGAAATTAGGGACACGTGTCGTGCACGTGCAACAGAAACACCGTGGAAGGGTTTACTCTGGGGTTAACCACTTCTGTGACATTTGGCCCAGCCGGGGCAACGTATAATTATGCGGTCCGTAACAGGTCCGATGTGATTTCTCCCATGTTATTATCGTGCCGTGAAATAATATTTAATAACGCAACAATATGTTCTTGCAAAATTTTGTGCCACGTGAAGGGAAACTTTCAAACTTTACGCAATATCCTCTAATATCAGGTTATTGCAGATGCAAACGGTTGAATTTTTAATAAAACCTCCAGTTTTCCAATTCACATTTTTCCTGGAAATAATATCAACCGTATCATTATTCACCAATTCAATAAGTTTTGACTATTGTAAAAGCAAACTCTAGTTATTTCGATCAATGTAAATTATTATAATCAATTCAAATTTATACGCTTATAATAATTAATTAATGTATCAATATTATATAATTAATACAATCATGTAATTACATCGAAATAATTAATGCAAGCTTGAAATAATTAATATATTAATATATAACTATTTCTAATCATAAATAATTATAAGTTATAACAAGTCTGTAAAATCGACCGTCTCGTATGCACCAATCTACTAAAATAGCCGAACTATTTTATCCATTCTAGAATCTCAATTTCTTCTTTAAAAATTCTTCGTTCTCTCCTTTCTTGCAATTTTCATCAGATACTTTTTCCTATGTCCTTCAATTTTTTTTTCACTCTGCTAGATTCTTTGTTCAATTTTCACTTAATTCTTTTCTTCAATCCTTGCTAAAAAAAAAAAGATACATCTGGTTAAATATGCTAAATTAACATCCATCTAAGTATCAAGCGTTCTTTATCCAACTACACGGCAACTATCTAAAATATCCATCTTGGGGTGCAAAATTCGATTTACAAATCTATTCAAGTCGCATTATCGCCCGACGACTTTTCCTCCACCGAGAGCCTCCCTGTTGTTCCTTATCAGATCGATGAAGAGGCGGAACCAGCAGCCAGGCAACCAAGGGTTGGCAGACTCCACCACCAACTAGCTCGGCGAATAGGGATGCAGCCAGACCTTCAACCCCAGAAATGGCTTCCCTCCCGCTTTTCTCTTTTAGTTTCGACGGACCACCTAAATCCACAGTGCTCATCAATGTTCCACAGTTCCACTTCACCTTTCTGATAGTCTAATGTTTCTTCAACTGCAGTATTTCCTTTTTCACCTGAAGTGTACATAATTATAAATAAGAGTTTTGTGTCAGTGATTCATTTGACGGTTTTTGTCAGAGAAATTTATTTGTTTCAATATTCATACACTGTTATTCACAAGTATCCAGATAATAGTGGATTTGCGAGTGTGGTAACAGCTATATAAATTTTATCAGAGTGTTAATTACTGTGTATTAATCCAGTAAGGATAAAGCAATAGTATGTGGATTTTTATGTATTTCCGAGGAACATTGGAAAGCAAAATTGCACAAAATGTATATAACGTGAGTAACGTTTTCTATAGTACTTGATATAATTTTCTACCAAGATTCTATTTTATCTTTACATTAAATTATATTTTTAAAAAATATGGATTTGCATAAAAATCTGCAATCTAGTCAAATGACAGAACATATTATATTAACACATTAAGCAGTATTAAAGTCAAAGAGATTGATAAATTGAAATTACCTATTAAAAGAAATTTACCGATAATACATCTATTTGCAAAATATTTCATCACAAGGAACAAAAATATTATAGATCTCTTTCCCTCAATCCATAATTCTATATTTAAATTACATCTTACTAAAGACAAGCAAGTGTCTAGATACTTCTCAGCACCAGTGTAATTATTCTAAATTTAATAACAGTGCAAATGATGGGCACTGAATATTCAATCAGTAGTCAGGAGAGTCATCATTATGAGTGAAAGTGAAGAGAACGTTATCCAGGAAGGAAATCGAGGATGAAGAAGTTGGCCGATGCTTTTCTCGCTTTCTCGATCAAAATGGCTCTTCGGATCACAGTATGACCAGCAAGGAAGAATCGAGTACATCGTGATAAGTGTCTGGACAAATCTGGACACGTGTCCTGGCTTCCTGCTGGCACGTGTCGCTGTTTAGAAGTATTTCCTAGCACGCGCTGGGGTCACGTGTCGTGTCGATAGTATCAGTGATCCTCGGGACGTGATCGAGGATGTTTGCATTGGAATCTCCTGGAAACTTCAACGAAAACTGCTTGATGATCCCGGTTTAATTGAATCCATTCAGTGTACCTTGTGCCGAGTTTGAGAAATCTCCTGTGTTCGGAGAAGACTATAGTGTTTCCAAAACCTCGAAAATTAAATAAAAGAATCGTTAGTGATATGAAGAATTCATTCGATATCTTCAGAAGACTATAAAATGATAAAATTGTCACCGATTTCAAATTTGATGTTTCTTCTACTTTAAACGTAAAATTTAGTTTCTTTAAAAAAAAAAAAAAAAAAAAAGATTGGATCTTCCGGATTCAGAGAAGACATGAGTGAGAAAAAGGAAGACTCTTAGTTGTTAGAATTATTTAGTAGATATGGTGCCTCACGAAGGATTTAAAAATTAGACCAACTGACAGAAGAAGGAGTGTGTCACATTACTTGCACTTGTAATGCAAAACTTTGGATGCCTTCCGAGAGATTCTCAAATCAAATCAACTACGGCGAAGAGTCAAATTTTTAAATACTTGACTCGTCTCTCGAGAGATTCTCAAGTAAAAACTATGCCGTAGGATAAAATCTTCCAGGTTCACAAAAGGCACTGAGATCTATATTTTATTAAAGTGCTCGCTATAATAAAGAAGAAAAAAAAAAAAGAAATCTGACGCAGACAATGTGAGAGTGTTTTAACTAATTAATTTCAACTAGTCAAAGATTCTAGTCGCTATACCGAGGAGTTTATTTAAAAGACACGTGTACCAAAGAGATTGAGAGTTCCTTCAAGATGTATTCTATGGACAATCTTGAGTTAGATATGATGAATCGTCAATATATGTACGAGGCGCATAGTTTTCTTGGAAATCCTGCGATTCCAGCTTTGCCGCCGCATTGCGGAGCGCCCACCGCAGCCACGCTATCTTCGATACCGTCGCAACTAGCTGCCCACCCTGCTGGCAGTACCGGAAGCACCAGCGGCAGCGAAATTTACTTGTACGATGAAAATAGCAGCGACAATGAGAGCGCTTATAGCAGTGATCAGGAAAATCACACCAGAGAGTGAGTATCTTCTTGAGGATTGAGCTATTCTGGAAATAAATATTACATTGTATCAATGTACTTTGTTAAGAAAATATTTCCTTCTTAAAAATACGTGAAAAATATTTGACTGAATTTATTAGATTTAATTTACGCGAAACCTTAAGAATGTTGACAAAATTAGGAGTGAATCCATCTCTTCATGGTCACTCGTTTTTGTACGTAGTTTTCCAAACATCGTAAGAATATTTCAAAAATAAGAAACTCATTAACTAAAGAATTCTTTTAAACACAAGTGTAATAACGAATATATATTTCCCTTTTTGTCTTCTATAGTGTCTATCTGCAATTGAATATTCCCAAAAATCCCAAAGATATTTAAAGAAATAGGGATGTAAGAATTATTATTCTATTAAAAGCAGTGCAATAATGATTTCTAGACGAAGTCAAAGCAACAGGAGGAACGGGGCAACAGGGAAAAGTCCAAGACAGGCGGTGCAACAGAGGCAAGCCGCCAATATGAGAGAGAGGAGACGTATGCAAAATATAAATGACGCCTTCGAGGGTCTTAGGGCTCACATACCCACTCTACCCTACGAGAAGAGACTCTCTAAAGTTGACACATTAAAATTGGCGATCGGTTATATAAAGTTCCTAAACGAACTCGTCAGAGCTGACAAGGGCAATGACCCTCTGACAGGGAACGGTAGTCTCTCCAGGTGTTCCGGTCGAGATGACTCTAAGAAGGTCATAGTTCGTGGTGAGGCCAATACCGATCACATTCACGTCTCCCTTCTCTATCATTTATGTCACCATGTTCTTGGTTTTTAAAAATAAAATTTTAATTTTCTATATGAATGTGTTGCTCGACACATCTACATAGCCTGCCATCAAAATATTAATAATCTGAAAAACAAAATTATCATTGAGACACAATTGAAGTTAATACAGTTATTTAAATAGAGATTAAGCCGCTTGATGTACTAATCTTTACTAACGATCAAATTTTAGGCAGCGAGGGGAATCCATTCATTTTTCATTCCCTGTCCTGGTCCAGAAAGTCGGACATTTCCCCAAATGGAACAATGTACGCGAAAGTTTGGACACCAGAGGACCCAAGAACATCAAAAAGTAGCTCGACATTTGAATAAAATGCTCAGGTCTTAATTATTAAGTGCATCGAACCTCGTGTTATTTAGTATCTAAGGACAGAAATTTCTAGTCAATCTTTTTGATTTTCCTAAATAATGTATCCAATTGTATCAAACAGAACCAAAGTTTGTTAACTAAGAAAATTATATCAATTAATTTATTTCTTGTCTCTGGTCGATTTTAATATGATGGACAGTATTATTAAATTATTATTGTCATTATTTAATTGCCCCATATGCAAACAGTATTAATCTCAAAATTAATGTTAATGAAATTTGAAATGAAATTAAATAAGAAATTCCTGTACAACATGAAGAATATGAGTGACTTTTTTAAATTTCTCTTTGAAGAAACGCCCAAACAAACAGTGAATCTACACTAAATAAGTAGAAGAAGGAAGATTCTGCCAGAAATTCTTTTGTTCTCCAAGTAATTAAAACTGATTTTTCTTTCATTTGGCAGAATTAATCTCACCATTGTACATATAGAACGTGTAAAAGATATCGTTTGTACGTGAAATGTGAATATGCAACAGAATGACTCCCAATGTGGTTGCCATTTAAGCCAAATAAAGTAGATTCTTCAAGTTTCGAATTATTTCTTCTATTATCATCCTTTATTTTCCATTTTTCATTATAATTTCTTTGGTTTTCTTGATCTTGAAGCAATAGTTAGTCAAGTACCTTGGATTTCAACTTAATACACTGTTTTTAATAGGTGTATACGGTTCTTCTAAAAATCAATACCCTCCCATTGTAGTTTGTGAAAATTTAATCTGGAACTTCTTTTCTTGGTTCAGAAAAAACCGAGCTTCTTTGATTTAAAGATTTCTTTCTGTTTTCTGTTTTCTATTTTATCATTAATTTGGATGCTTCTCTTCAGCTGCTTCTGACAATCCATTTTATTGAAATTTCTTTGATTCCCCATATTTATTTCATTTATTTACATTCTCAGATCTACAATTTTCCTATAAATACTTCTCTCCTATCTTAATTAACTCTGAAACTCTCTTTTACCAAAATTTCTTTAATTTTTAGACCATTTCCTCTACTCCAAATTTTCCTACATTTCAAATTTTCCTCTCGATGTATTTTATTTAATTTTCGATCTAATCCACGACCAATCTCTCAGTTTTTCGGATCTCTCAATCTCTTAAATTCTCCTTTTCAATTTCTTTCCATCTAACTTAATGTAAAAAAATTATTTTACAAAAATGTCTTCAAAATCCAATAGAAGATAACAATGCAAGAACGAGAGAAATATTTAGACAAAGTGGCTAGATAAAGCTTCTGAATTTAGCTTTCTTCGCAACGAAATGGCGGAGGGCTCCAAAAAAAAAAAAAAAAAAA